TGCCAACGGTGATATAGAACTGATGCAGAAGCATATTGTATGTTTTATCTTTAACCGACGAGATCACTCGGCTGCATGGCAACGGGCTGTAATGCTGGGGTACGTGAATGGAAAGGCTTGAGTCAAGCTAGTTCAGGATAGTTTTTGTTAGTTTACCAATTTTCCAATTAAATTAGAACCAACGGGAAGATTTAATTGGAAAATAAGGTATAAGTGAATGTTTTAGCCATCATGACTAAGTTTTTGTGTAGATGTATCCCACAAGGGGAGATGTTTTGGCATAGTACTTATGCTAGTCAATCCTGCATGGCGGGAGAAGTTTTGTGATGACGCACATGTTTTGTATCCCGCATAGCGAGAGAAGCTTGTGTAGTTCTTATGCTGTCCTAGTATTGACCTTGGCATAATAGAAATATATCGTCATGGTCAATACTGACCAAAGGATGAGAAAAGATGCAAGAGTGACTTGCAAAAGTACAACTAATGAAAGACCCCGTTGAGTTATTGAAGTGAAATAAGGAAAGTGTACTCCTAAACAGATTAAAAAATAACTTTATTTACATGACATAATCATGTGAATGAAGTAAGTTATAAGTGTCTCCTCGTTTACAGGCTTTCTGAATAGTTATCAAAATTATGGCAGTAAAGTTCATACCATATTTCGAGGGGGGGAATATTAAGATCAATTAAGAAAGATACTCTTCATTAAGAGTAAGATAAAGACCGTTGGAGGAGTACAACGGTTACAACAATGATACCCCTAAGTAGAGAAATAGCTAAATTCCTGGACCTTTTAAAGTTCCAACAGGAAAATAGCGTAGTCGGTCTCAAAGATGTTAAGGTGGTGCTTAAAGCGCCATATGAGAGTTTAACGGATTAAACCCAAAATAAGATATTTGAAGATACACTATCTTTAAAAAAATGGGAAGATCTGGGGGAGCATGATATGTAGAGGTATGTAGAGACCTAAGACTTGAAGAGAAGCGGGACTGCGTACCCACTTCAGTGATTCAAAACAATAAATTTCTCAATACCTGTTGATGTTGTATGACTTATACAACACCTGTTGTTGACTCTTCGAAGAAGATGAATAATGTAAACAAGGATCTTGTGATACAGGAGCCTGTGGAATCAATTGCCTCTTAGCAATGAAGAGCAACAACAGCCCATATGAAAGTGCTAGTAGCTGAGGCCCCAGAAGGTCTCAAAGAATTAGTAAATCAGTTTTTCTGATGACTATGAAATCTATGTTAGTAAAGAAATTCAAATAAAGGGTGATTCTACCTCATTTAAAGAAGCCATGAGAAGCGTTTACTCATTTAAATGGCAAGAAGCTATGGAAGTTGAAATGAATTAGGTGAATACCAACGATGTTTGGGACTTAGAAGTAATTCCCAATGAAGCCAAAACAGTAGGCTGTTAATGAGTCTACAAGACAAAATGTGACTCCAAAGGGAATGTAGAAAGATATAAAGTTGAAATGAATTCGATGAGTACCAACGATGTTTGGGACTTAGAAGTAATTCCTAATGGAACCAAAATAGTAGGTTGTTAATGGGTCTACAAGACAAAATATGACTCCAAAGGGAATGTAGAAAGGTATAAAGCATGACTTGTGGCAATATGCTTTAAGCAAAGAGAATGAATAAATTACAATGAGAGTATTCTCTCCAGTCTTATGTAAGAATTCTTTTAGAATTATAATGGTGTTAATGGCTCATTACGATTTAGAGTTACATAAGATGGATGTAAAGACGGTATTCCTCAACGGGGATTTATATGAAAATGATTACATGGCACAACCCAAAAGGTTTTGTCATGGAAGAAAAGAACATATGGGATGTCGCCTGTAGAAATCCATTTTTGGGTTAAATGTAAGTCTCTAGACAGTAGTATTTGAAGTTGATGAAAACAATAAGAAAGTTTGGGTTTCAAAGAAAATGAGAAGGACAATAGCGTCTATGCAAAGTTCAAGAATGGAAAATTCATTTTCCACATCCTATGAAGATGACATTCTACTCACTAGTAGTGATGTTAATCTGTCATTGGAGAAGAAGAAGTTTTGTCCTCAAGTTTCAATGTGAATGATCTTGGTGAAGTGTCATTGGTTCTAGGAATTAAAATTCACCGAGATAGAAGAAAATATGGTATTAGGACTATTGCAAAGGCATACTTAGAAAAGATTCTAAAGAAGTAAAGTATGCGTGTGAGTAAACCTACGCCTGCTCCTATAGTCAAGGGTAATAGATAACAGAACTTTCAGTGTTCCAGGAACCGATATGAGATCGATCGAATGAACATGATTCCATAAGCTTCAGCTGTTGGAAGCTTGATGAGTGTACAAGTACAAGTAATAACTTACCCTGACGTAGTTTATGTATCCGGGATATTTTGACAGAAGTCCAATTCAGATATAGATCACTGGAATTGAGTTGAGAATGTCTTGCAATTCTGCAAAATATCATAGGCCTCATGCTGAGTAAGAAAGAATAAGTACTCTCAAATAGTTGAGGGTACAAAAGTTAAGTCTTGGTGAGATATGTAGTGAAATCCACAGTAGTTGCTAACGCTCGCAGTTGGAGTATTATTGTGGAAAAGCTCCAAAAAAATAGTTATGGTGCCATCAGTGATGCATACCATAGTATAGTTTGACATAAGGCTTAAGAAACAGGCAAAAGAGGTTAAGGGAATGTACCCAGATTTAACAATGGTAGTCAACATCAATAACCATTTAAAGTTAGTTAACTCCTAAGTCAACAGGTCAAGTGTGCTGCCAAACACATTGACACTAAGTTATATGTTGTAAAGGAGAAAATCCAGAATCATTTGAAAGCATTGAGCACATGAGTACCGAGTAAGTACTTGCGGATCCGCTTACCAAAGGCTAACCACCTAGTGCATTCAGAGAACACACAGTTGACATGGGTTTATAGGAAAACATATGATTTCTGGATACTAAGGGCCTAGTTGAGTATCTATTTTAAAATAGAGAGGTGCATTGTAGCTGTTAAATCTAATGGCAACTGACCATGACGATGAAGCACGCTCTATGTATTGATCTGTGATGGAATGAGAAAAAGATAAAGAAAGTTGAGTTCAAGTATGAGGTGAGATCAAGGGAGAGATTGTTAGTGTTGATTTCATTCAAACTCGGCCCAACGGTCGAGTCGGGCCTTGATCCATTGCCTTGATCGGAGGCATCCAACCAAACCAAGGTTGGTGGACCCCGTCGCTCAGCATTATTTAGAGAGAGGTGGGGGCTAGGGCGCAGACACGAAGTTCACCATGATCCCCACTTACTGCTCTAACCCTACCGATCAAGGGAGTGCTGACGCGGCGGGAAGTGCCACCACCGGACCGCTGCATCACGCCTGCACTGCGTCTCCACAGGTTGTTCCCTCGTCGGTGGCGCTATGGCCGCGACTGCGCTCGACATGTGGTACACCAAACAATTTCCCTATCTAAATTATGTATTTACCCACTGATCTACACCTAGATGTTCTAGAATTTCTATCATGCCGATGTTGCATTTCATCGGCTCCACCATGAGAGCCAAGGTTCCAAATCGAATTTTGGCAAGGCGATTGGCCAAAGTGCAAGCATCCATGGCACAGATCATTGGCGGGCAAGAAAAAATTTTCTGAATTCTCTCTGTTGTTGCTATGCTTTGCAGCCATTCCCTAGAATCTGGATGCTGCCTCTCTGTGTGCTAAATACCGATCTACAGTACGTTAGTATGGTTGGTGATATGCCCAAAAGACAATCATACAAGTTATGCATTGGATTTATATACTAAAACATGATAATGATTTACTAATGGGCTTTTTATTAAGGAGTGGATTTAAGTTCAAAGCTCACGAGTGGAGGTGAAATGTAGGTTGATTAGTAACATGCTGCTAGTTGATATAAAGATAACAAGTTCTCCTCGCTATATAAAGAGCCTGTTTGGCCGGGCTTCGAGCGGTTTCGGCTCCTCTGACTCCTCCTCTGTTCATTTCTTGTAGCAACACTGTTCATCGGAGTCGTTTTTCTCTCTTCTCCTTTCCTCTCTCACTGACCAGCGCCGGAGCCGGAGATGCTCGTTTTTTTTTTCTCCTCTGACTCCAGCTCTTACGCGCTATAGTGTGGAAGCTCGAGCCGGCAGGAGCCCGGTCAAACGCGTCCAAAATATACCAACACTCTATTTTAAAAGATAACTTGTTCTTTGAGATCTGAACCTAACCTCCTCTCTCTCCCTCTCCGCGCGCTAGCACACCGGCACCGGCTCGAGGCAAAGTGAGCTTGCAGGGTGCTACAGAAGTTCCTGGCTCAACATTACAAGCTAGTGCACAGTTGCTCAAACAGTGTTATGTCTGCGGAAATATCTCTTTCCTGCACCATGCATAAGGAATTTTGCACAGCGCACAGCCTTTTGCACCAAAACGAGAGCTACAGTGCTAAAGCCTCCCTCCCTTTGAGCCAATTTTTTTATTTATTTGTTTCAAGGAAAATCTACTCCTCCTACTCTTGTATGGACAGAGAGATAAAGTGTGATGTAGAGAGAGAAATGAAAGGGAGAGGAGAGGACAGAAGGAGGAAGGCAAGTCCTCAGCGGGAAGGCCACCCCACTTTATTTATTGCCTTTTTCATGTTGTACGCTATCATTTCGAGATCAAGACGCTGCCAGGAGAATAAAATACTCTCTCCTCCCCCACACACCCCTCCACCCTCCTCACCCCTCTCATCACAAACGCTCAAGGCTCAGCCGCGGAAGAGAAGAGAGAGACCAGACCACCACGACAGACAGAAGAGGAGGTAGAGAGGGAAGGGCCGAGGAGCTGGTAGTACGAGAGCGTACTGAATGATGAGTCCTTGGACTCTACAACCAAGCGCTCTCTGAAAGAAGCAACAAGCCATAGGACAAGACGTGTCGGGAGGAGGAAGAAGCAGCCAGGGACCAGCAACCGTCGCCATTCCTGGTTTGCTTTTGCTGTTATGAGGAGTTGGTTTAGATGAGAGGAATGCTCTTTGCTGGTAGCGCACGAGAAGGGCACGCGGGGACACTGTTGCAACAGCAACGACAGGGGCTCGCCGCCGGCAAAGTCTCCGGCGCCGGCGACCTCTGGGAGCCCACCTCGGTGCTCGACCACCGACACAGCCCGAGCCCGAGCCCGCCGACCTCGGTTTCCACGCTGTCGTCGCCCCTGGGCGCCGCGACGGCGGGTGTGGCGGCCCTCGCCGGTGCCAACGCCAAGAACGTCTCCCCGCCGCCGGTGGCGGCGGCATGGCCAGGGGGAGGGGCCGGGGAGGAGGCCGTGGCGGGGGGCAAGGAGGAGTGGCAGCTCACGCCGCTTGACATGGGCCTTAGCGCCGGCGAAGGGTGGGACGCTGCCGGCGCCGTCCTGTCCGATGGCGCGGCGCCGGCGGGACTCGCCCCCGACCACACCTTCCTCAGGTGGATCATTGGCGGCGAGGACGCGTCTGCGGCCATGGGGTCTGTCATGGATCCGCCGGTCCTTGAGCTGGACCACGCGCCGTCCATGATGTCGCCGGCGTTCGGGGCCAGCATGCCGTTCGCGCCGGCCATGGAGGACGTCAAGGTGGTGCCTTTCGGCCACACGCCCAACTTCCTGGTCCACCATCACCAGCACCACCCCCAGCCACACGCCGCCTTCTTCGGCTCGCACTCGCACCCGTCCCTCGACGCGGCGCCGCAGCCGAAGCGACCCCACCCGATGGCCGGCGCGCCGGCGCCAAAGCTGCCATCTTTCCCTGGGCCCGTCGCCCAGGCGGGCGGGTTTGCGCCCGCTTTGAAGCCCAAGGCGGAGGCGGCTAACGACGAGGTGACCGCTGCGGTGGACCAGCTTGCCGAGGCGGCCAAACTTGCCGAGGCTGGCGACGCCTTCGGCGCCCGCGAGATATTGGCGCGGCTCAATTATCGGCTCCCCGCCGCTCCCACGGCCGGGACGCCGCTGCTCCGTTCAGCCTTCTACTTCAAGGAGGCCTTGCGCGTTGCGCTCTCCCCAACCGGCGAGGTCCTGGCGCCCCCGGTGTCCACGCCGTACGACGTGGTCCTCAAGCTCGGGGCGTACAAGGCCTTCTCCGAGGTCTCCCCCGTGCTCCAGTTCGCGCACCTCACCTGCGTGCAGGCGGTGCTGGACGAGTTCGGGGGCGCCAGCCGCATCCACGTGCTCGACTTCGACATTGGCATGGGCGAGCAGTGGGCGTCGCTGATGCAGGAGCTCGCGCAGCGCTGCCCCGCGGCGACGCTCAAAGGTGACCGCATTGGTGTCTTCGGCGTCGCACCACCCGCTGGAGCTGAACCTCATCCACGAGAACCTCTCCGGCTTCGCCCGCGAGCTCGGCGTCTTCCTCCAGTTCGCGGTGTTCAACATCGACACCCTGGACCCCGCGGAGCTGGTGGCCATCACCAGCGGCGACGCCGTGGCCGTGCACCTCCCCGTCGGGTCGGCACACGTGGCCGCAATGCCGGCCGTCCTCCACCTCGTCAAGCGGCTCGGCGCCAAGGTGGTGGTCTCCGTGGACCGCGGCTGCGACCGCACGGAGCTGCCGTTCGCGGCGCACCTGTTCCAGGCGTTCCAGTCGTGCGTGTCCCTGCTCGACTCCGTCGACGCCGTGGGCGCGGACGCCGAGGCGGTGGCCAGGATCGAGCGGTTCCTGGTCCAGCCCGACGTGGAGCTGCGCGTGGTGTCGCGCCACCGCGCGTCGGCCATGGACAAGCCGCCGCCGCCGCCGTGGCGGACCGTGTTCGCGTCGGCGAGGTTCGTGCCGGTGCAGGCCAGCACGTTCGCCGAGTCGCAGGCGGAGGCCCTCCTCAAGAAGATGGCACTGATGGGGTTCCGCGTGGAGAAGCGCGGCGGCGCGCTCTGCCTCTACTGGCAGCGCGGGGAGCTGGTGTCCGTGTCGGCGTGGCGGTGCTGACCGCCGCCGTCGGCAGCGGCCAGCCAACCGTGAAATCTACCACAAGCCCGGTTTAGCTAGGACTAATGATCCTGCCGCGAACAAAAATATTTTTCACCGTCGGTCGTTGTAACGATCTCATCTGATCTGGTCGTCTGCTTATTAGTCTGTCCTACCTATTAATCGGAGTAGGTCGTCCGTTGCCTGGCTTGCAGCCCCGGTCGCTCTGCTCTTGTTGATTTGCAGAGTAGATTGTGGTTTGCATATTGTAAAACGTAGACGTGGTGCAGTAACCAGCGCATTCTACCGCCCGTGTTGCTACTCTTTTTATTGCTGTGAAATCAATCAATGGTTATGGCGTTTGAAATGGTCTTTCTGCTCTGCAATTGCTTTTTGTTTACAGAAAGAAATGTTGCAGTTCTAAACGGCTGGCATCCGCAATTCGATCATATCTAGCCTAGCCCCCAACTTACAAAGCATGAACTGAAATTCGTTCCTGTGAAAATTATGAGGCGTGTTTCCTTATGAAATCCATGCGTTCGGAAGAAAAGCGCAGTAACTCGAATTGAAGCGGCCGTGGTAAAAAATCATCTGAATTACGGAGAAACTGGTGCGGCGGCAAGAACAGACACCTGGCAAAGGAGGGCCCTCTGGCCTCTGCACGAGAATGGCGTGTGCGGCGGAGCTGGGACTGGGAGAGAGGCCGACAATTGGACGACGGAGAAGAGTCTCCAGCTCAGCAGCAATGGCGCGAAACAAAAACAACGATCGGGAATAAAGCGGCCACCGCATGGGCGCCCGCCGGAAGCAAGCATAAAGGCGGTCGGCCGGCAAATTTTGTTCCCAAGTGGGATTCCGATTTGCACTTGGCGAGAGCTAAGATATACCGCTACTATAGGACTCCGGTTGCTTAGCCGCCTAAACAACCGATTTTTTTTCAGCCCCCTTTTTTTTAAAGATTTTCACAAATAGGCCTGGGTATAAAAAACGGACGTACCTAGTGCAGAGAGGTCCCGCTCTGTGCGGGGTCTAGAAAAGGATGTCAGTGGCAAGTTTTACCCTTGCCTGTGCAATGTGAGGAGGCCGTGACTCGAACCCGGGATCTTCCGGTCACAGGCAGTAAGATTTTACTGCTTGCACCAGGCCCATCCTTTCAAAAAATAGACCCTGACCTCGGTGGCGTGACAATTGACGCCGAGCTTACACGTCTCGGCGCCAATTGCTTTGGCGCCGAGGTCCTGGGTCATTTTCTGCGTGTCGTTGATGTGGCTGCTTGTGTGGCGCGGACGTGGCATGAGCTCGGCATCATGGATCTCGCCAATTACTACGGTGCCGAGCTATGAAAATTGATAAATTTTAATTTTTACCATAACTTGGATATTGAGAAATGTGACTAACTCTAGATTTTTTACAGTGACGTGTTGTTTGATCATTCAAAACAGTCTAGAAATACTTAAGATAAAAAATGATCTAGGGTTTATATTCATAAACTAGCCTAAAAATGCTTCAAAGTGTTGGATCGATAGTTAACTCTTTTTTTATGATGTTGTTTTAACCAGGGTAAAACTATAATTTCTTTTCTAGAAATGAAGTTTGACCTTTAATAGAAGTTGTAGTTTGAGTTGAGTACAACAAACTTTGCTTTTGGACCTAAACCTAAATCAGTCTTTAACATGGCCCAATTATGACGTTGTTTTGGCCCATCTAAATCTTTCTAATTCCCTTATCGTCGGTAGTGAATTGACATGTTTACGACATTTTATCTTCCAAATTCATATAGCAACTCAATTTAATACCGTACTACGAGTTTGAATACTCTCTAAGGAGATGACAACAAAACAAGTCTCGTCAAGTTTGGACTTAGCCACGATAAAAAATCAAACTTAGCCACGGTCATAAATTCTAGACATAGCCATATTTCCACGTGCTTACAGGTCATGACGTGCTTACAGGTGAGGTGTGTTGCGTCCGTGCTTGCATGCCTACACATGCACGTATGGTTCGTTGCATGCGCCGATGCATCTTCGGTTAGCAATGCAATAAACACATAGAGTCGAGCCCTGCATCGTCCCGCCGTACTACAGGAGCCGAGCTCTGTACTGTGTCGCCCAGACGTGCTATAGTTCCATTTGGTCAGGCAATTTTTTTATCTTAAGTATTTCTAAATTGTTTTAAGTGATCAAACGACAAGTCACTGTAAAAACTTTAGTGTTAGCCACATTTCTCAATATCCAACCTAAACAACATCCATGAGTTGAACATCTAAGAGTTGAACATAGATATAATACACACTAAGAGTTGAACATCTCCAACTACTTACTGTGTAGATAAAGATAAATTATTAAAAATATAAAGCATAGCAACAAACTGATCAATTTGCGGATATATGTAGAAAGAAAACCCACAAATTAAAGCACGAAGCCGAGAAATATTTATTTTTTATTGGAAAACATTGAGAGGCCTCCTGGTTGGAGAGGATATCATGTTAGAGCGGGGGTGGCTGAAGGACCTTTGCCCTGTTCGCTTGGCTGATAAGTCATGGCTGAAAGTACTGTTGGCTGATTTATAATGAGAGAAAAATATTATTCGTTGGCTGAAAAAGTACGGCTTATAAGCCAAACGAACTGGACGCTCGAGGACAGGTTTATATTTACCTTTACGCTGGGCAAGTTGGCGCTGCAAGTCTTCTTTGAGTTCGTCGCTGCAGGAGCCCTTAAGCCACACTTCCTTGAGGTACCGAATCCGTCGTAGCCCAGAAAGATGCAAAGACTAGAGCACTCAACCCTCAGTACATGAACACCTAGTATATTTCCAATAGTTGCATGTAAGTTTGTGGTATAAACAATTTCAAGGACCTCAAGTCATAACCTAGCGAACTTCCGCTCATCATTAATGCCTATACCGAGCACATCATCTTGAACTGGCTTGATACAGAGACATTTCATGAGCCCATTGGTACGATGTACTAAATGATGCAGGATGACCTGCATGTCATGCTGTTCCTGTAAGATTACCTCAAGGTCCAAGTTTTGGACGTTGACAAACTCTATGATCTAGCTGCACGATGGAAATATGCGTATATGCCCATGCAGCTTAAAGCGATAACTGAGGGTCTTTGGCGGCCGAGCAATTATGTCATCCAGAGAAGGAAACAGACCATTCATGTTCTTATCGAGTCGCACAAAGACTTTAGATGGTTGAGACACGAGATGGCAGAAAAGAACTCATGGATGTTGTCCAGGTTGGATACTGAGAAATATGGTTAACACTAGAGTTTTTACAGTGACTTATTGTTTGATCATTTAAAACAATCTAGAAATACTTAAGATAAAAAATTTGCCTGACCAAATGAAACTATAATCTAGAAATACTTAAGTATTTCTAAACTTTTTTAAGTGATCAAACAACAAGTCACCGTAAAAAATCTAGAGTTAGCCACATTCCTCAATATCTAAGTCATGATAAAAACTAAAATTTATCAATTTCCATAGCTTGGCGCCGTAGTAATTGGCGCCGAGCTCGGCGCCAAAATCCACGGCGCCGAGCTCATGCCACGTCCGCGCCACGCAAACAGCCACGTCAACGACACTTAGAAAATGACCCTGGACCACGGTGCCAAAGCAATTGGCGCCGAGACGTGTAAGTTCGGCGTCAATTGTCACGACGCCGAGGTTAGGGTCTATATTTTGAACGAATACTGTGAGGGACGTATTTGTGAAAATCTTTTCAAAAAAAAAAGGCTGAAAAATAAAAAATTCGGCCTAAACAAGCTGTGGTCGCGGGTGGCTTCAGCAAGGCTCTGAATCTACCTGTCCATTATCCCCATAGACGTTCTGGTATCAGTCAGACACCGCTTAAAGCAGCTAGTATCATTAGGTAGACTGTTAATGCTCCAGACTGACAAAGTGTTTACGACCATTATTTTGTTCCATTAGCTGCTGGTGGTCTAAAAAGCCAGGATCATTCGCACTAGGATACAAGTTCTAATTACTTCGGGTTATTGCATCTGCCCAAAATTTTGCTTAAGTGTAATATGATATGATTTGAATGAGAGGAGAAATAAAGTAAATTTGCTCAAAGAAACTAGAATGATATTCATATAATTTTTTTTTTCTCGAATACGCAAAAGATTTATATATCATTGTATTAAGTAGAATAGCTTAAACAAACATACAATACGCTTCTATTGAGCTCCAAAGGAGGTCGACCTAAAACAGCGCTTTACTTTGAATGAGACTAGAAATAAACTAGAATGATATCTTACCGGATTTAGTTACCTAAAAAGTATCCACTTGTATCCTTAATTCAAACAGTAGATGCAAAAATGTAATTTTTCAACGAAAATCTCTATTTCTATCCATAAAGAAGAATATATAGAAGAGTATATAGATTCTTTAACAACCGTGTGCTTGGTGTTAACTGTGTGCACCGCTCATCCTCAATGGGCTGCTTACTGCCAAAAGTGGGCACATTACAGCTTAACCAAAGTTGCTAAACCAAGCGTGTAAGTGTTCCCCGTCTATTCCTGCCAAAACAAATGGAACCCCTGCAAGTGTTCTCGCACACACAGATGACAGATGATCCGTGTCCATGATACTGTTGCTCATCCAAGGACATATGCCGCCGGTAGGGTCGGCTGCCGCATTCTGCAAAGCATTGTCTTGTCGTCATGATTGGAATTCGCCGCGGGCATTGGCAGCATGAACCAAATCCCCTGCATGTTCTATGCTCTCCCCCTCCTCTGATTGTTCTGCCGCTGCAGCAGGGCAGGGAGATGCAAAGACGGCAATCATCGTGGAAAGCGCCGGCGCTTTGCAGAAACGGCGGCAAAGCATCTGCCATCGGCAGCGCTAACTGGATTGGAGTACCCAATTCAATCGGCCACGTTGTGCGCCCGCTAACGACGATGAGGAATTTCACTAAAAAAACGACGATGAGGAATAAAACATGCCCGGTGTCCGGTGCCCTCTGCGACGCTAGTCTGCACTGCAGGAATATATGGGTCGATAATAATGGCGTGG